GCGACTACCCGAGCCGCAGTCCGTTTGACCTGTCCAATTGAGCAAATTGATAAGGTCAAATCTGCATTTGTTTTTTACTGTACAGTAAACCACTCTTCCACTAGGTGGCTCTAAAAAATTATCAATTATCATTGAGCATAGTCTTCAGAATTTAACAAGTTTTCCTCGTGTTTTTCTACATTTGGAACCAGTGAACACAACTTACAACATTAAGTCTTACTTTAAGTTCTAAACACTAAAGAAAAAGGTCAGAACTTTCTCTACCTTTGTTTGAATCACTTGGTTTAAACAAAAAACAAATCTACCCCTTTAATTCTTCTTTTGATCCTGTTCTATTCTAAGATTATCTGCAATTTAGAATGTATTTTGCCCAATGTTGTTAATGCTGAAATGATATTGTCTTGTCATGTTTTTCCTCCTTCAGAGTACCTAGTATAGAGTGTTTAGTGAAGATGTTCAAAGACGTCTTACAAGTAAATAGTAGACTAAAAGCGAAACACAAGAGTAGAATGAAAGGTACATTTGGTTTTCAGACTAACAAAGACTCCAGCACTGCATTAAATCTAATGGAAGCTTTTATTTAAATGTTGCTTTTCCTCACATTGACATTGTTCGAGACTCAGTGCTGTCCTTTTCTTTTATCTGCTCTCACGTTTGTTTTCAAAGAGTCAAGAAAATTGAAAAAGCACAAAACTCAAATAAAAGTGTAAACTGTGCTTCTGTCTTGTCAGTGGTTCAACATCTCTCCACAGAACATGAATTAATTTATTCCAATGCCATCTGCTTTTTTTATTTTAAAGATTTTGACCATTTTCACAATCACCCGTTCACAACCATTCCCATTAAGTCTGTTAATTTCTTCAATTTTCATTTTGATATTCTTCTTTTGAACCAGTACAAATCCCACAGTACAACAGAATATAAAGGAATATTCCTAATTTTGTCAGAACTTGACAAAGAAGGATGCTTTGTACCTAAAATTAATGAAAATTTATTTAAATTGAAAAAAAAGAAATCAATATGCAATTGTGGTTTAGTGACAGCAAGCATCGACCTTTAACAGTGGAGTTTGTTCAGTTGGAGGAAACTAAGTAAATGTGTCTATTGTCTATGGTGTGACACAGGTGAAGGTGACTTTGAGGTGTGTGTTTCCAGGCCTCCCTGATTCATTAGGAGTCATTACTTCACAAAAGCCAGGGGCATTGTTATAAAGGTCACAATTGCCTTCTGTACAATGTGTATTGCACGGTGTTGTGGGGGTGGGGGGGGGGGGGGGGGGGGGGGGGGTTTGAACCGCTATTTGTCTGATCCGTCGCCTATTTTAAATGATGGAATTATTAATGTGGAAACATGTCAAGAAAATTATGAGAAAGTATCATTCCAAATTTATCTTCGTAGATTTGGTGGTTTTTAGTCATTGCTGTGCATCTTTTATGTCAATGTGTGACAACTTTTGTGGACTGAACAGTCCCTCGCAGTCAATTGAATGTCATTTTACCTGTGCAGTGAATTGTGTTTTAATCTATTGGCACGTGTGTGTGTGTGTATGTGTGTATGTATGTATGTATGTATATATATATAGTCA